ATGAAACATTTTCTTCTTCAGCGTAAAATTTATTTAAAAAAAAACTTTTTTAATTTTTCTACTTTTTAGTTTTTCTTTTTAATAATGTTCATGTAACAATTAAGAAACTTTTGTTTAATAAAAATAAAATTTATTTTACTCTTTATAACGAAACATAATATAAAAAAACGTTTGTGCTTCTAGCTGTAAAAAAAAACTAAAAACTATAATTTAGTTTGTGCTTTTGAATAAAGATCAAAAAAACGAAGAAGTCATTATATTTAAAAGTCATTTTAGTTTAATTTTTATGATTTTTTATGAGGGATTTGCAAATTTTTTTTTAAATAAATTATTAAATAAAACTTAAACTTTTTTTCTTTTATTTAAAAGTAATTCGCCCACAAATTGGGAAAAACAGTCTGTAGATAGACTGTACTGTAGTCTAGTCTATAGTCCGGAATATAGTCTAGTCTATAGTCTGGACTATAGGTTAGTCTATAGTCTGGACTATAGTTTAGTCTATAGTCTGGACTATAGTTAAGTCTATAGTCTGGACTATAGTTTAGTCTATAGTCTGGACTATAGTCAAGTCTATAGTCTGGACTATAGTAAAGTCTATAGTCTGGACTATAGTCAAGTCTATAGTCTGGACTATAGTATAGTCTATAGTCTGGACTATAGTATAGTCTATAGTCTGGACTATAGTCTAGACTATAGTCTGGACTATAGTCTATTCTATAGTCTGGACTATAGTCTAATCTATGGTCTGGTCTATAGGCTGAACTACAGTCTAGTCTATAGGCTGAACTACAGTCTAGTCTATAGTCTGGACTACAGTCTAGTCTATAGTCTGGACTACAGTCTATTCTATAGTCTGGACTACAGTCTAGTCTATAGTCTGGACTATAGTCTAGTCTATAGTCTGGACAATAGTCTGGAATATAGTCTAGTCTGTAGTTTGAAATATAGTCTAGCCTATAGTCTGGAATATAGTCTAGTCTATAGTCTAGTCTATAGTCTGGACTATAGTCTATATTTAATTTAATATATATATTTAATTAAGAATTCTATAACAAAAAGAATTCTATAACAAAAACCACTATTTCTGTAATTATATGTTAAAACCCTGTAAAATAGCCAAATTTTTATACATCTGGCATTACTTTACATAGTGGCAACTTTGTGTGGCTTTATTTTGATTGTCACATCCTGAAGATATACTTTAGTTTTAATTTTATTTAACTACCATCCAAAATTGTAACAAATATTGTTATAATTTTTTAATGAAATTTTAAATTTTGCTTTAATTCCTGTAAAAATTTATTATTTTTTTATTAAAACAAAATTTGTGTTAAAATCTTTTATTTGTTTTTTTTTTACAAACAGAAAACTGATATAATAGCAACACTTGACATCTGGCTGCTTTTTACACAGTGGCAGCCTGACTGTTACTTTATTTTCTTTTAACAAGCCTTAAAGTATGCTTTAAATTGTAGACATAAAACAAATATTAGCAAAACCGTTACATACACAGCTGTTTTAGCAATTACAAATACCTTTGGCATAGCTGAACACACAAAATAAACGACAGCTGTTTAGCAAAATCTAAGCTGGACAGGAAAAACCACCCTTAAAGCATAAAATTAGCACAAAAAAAAAAAAACTAAACAAAAACACAACTACTAATAGTTTCTTTTATCTTAAGAAGGAACTTAAAAGTATGTAAATTGAACAACGTAAATTGAACAACGAATCGAACAAGTACTTAGGGAAAAAAACACAAAACTAAAAACCGCTTTCAACAGAAAACTTGTCCATATCAAATACGGACGCCAAGTAGTCTCTTGAAATCTCCAACAACAACAAAAAAGGTCTCAAACAACAAAAGCAAAAAGCCAAAAAGAAAAATTCACATTGAGTTTTCAATAAAAGCGCACCAAAACGAGCAAAAAAAACCAAGGCACACAGCTGATGGGTACAAAACTTCCCTGTCTATCATAGACAGTCTAATGTTTGTTTGCTTTGTTGTAAAAAAAGGATTTGTTTTGTTCTTTGTGAGCTAAAAATTTACAATAAAATACATTTCTTGCTTCCTTACTCTGTATACATGTAACAGAGAGAGCGAGAGAGGAAAGCAATAGTTTTCGCCAGTTTGTGCACAGGATAATGCGCAACTGTTGTTTTTTGTTTTTGCTGTAATTGCTTAATTCGGTATTCATTTACTAGGGAGGAGAGTCAGCCAGCCACAGCCGTTTGTTAAGAATATGTCGAAAAAAAATGTAAATCAGTTGCAAAGTTACGTGAATACAGGATACAACGTTTTTTTAAGTTTTTTGATTTGATTTGGAAAAAAGTAAAAAAAAGTAGTAGTTGAAAAAAACACACACAAATTTTCAGACAATTTTTATGAGTTTTTCAAATTACTCCGTAAAATTTTCACAAATCAAAGTTCTAGTGTACAAATTATTAAAAATTAAGAAAAAAAAAATCATAAAAAGTAAATAAATTGCTTTTAAAAAGTAATAAAAAAAACACCATGTCACTTAGCGAAGCATCCTTTTCAATGTTGTATCGAAGAATTATGTAAAAAGCTAAAATAACTTGAAAGCTTTAATCCTGTAAACAAGTAAGTTTTTAGTTGTAATGTGTTTTTCCACAAATTTTTTATAAATTTTCTTTTAAAGGGACAAAACCACCAAAAATAATTTATTTATTGCATTGAATTCTTAAGGTGTTTTTTAACCTTTTGTTTCTTATCGATTAGCTTAAGTTAAATAGTTAAAATATTCATGCCACCATAAGAACAACAACAACAACAGCGACAAGAACAACAACCAAATGAAAATGTAGTAAAAGTTTCTTTTTCTATTTTTTTTTGTGTGTATTGTTAGCTGAAAAGGAAAAGAATGAAATCTTTAAAATAAAGAAGGAATAAACACTCTTTGTTCTATAGAATGTTTCTAAACAAGACACTTTTTCTATAGATAAACACCTTTCAAATTCATTGTTAAAAGAGCTCCATTTCTATAGAAAAATACTTTGTTAAAAATACTCTTTTTCTATAGAAAAAGTCTTTGTTAAAAAGACTCTTTTTCTGTAGAAAAAGTCTTTATTAAAAAGACTCTTTTTCAAGACACAAGAAACAAAGACTTTTTCTATAGAAAAAGTCTTTGTTTAAAAGACTCTTTTTCTATAGAAAAGTCTTTGTTAAAAAGACTCTTTTTCTATAGAAAAAGTCTTTGTTAAAAAGACTCTTTTTCTATAGAAAAAGTCTTTGTTAAAAAGACTCTTTTTCTATAGAAAAAGTCTTTGTTAAAAGACTCTTTTTCTATAGAAAAAGTCTTTATTAAAAAGACTCTTTTTCTATAGAAAAAGTCTTTGTTAAAAAGACTCTTTTTCTATAGAAAAATACTTTGTTAAAAATACTCTTTTTTCTATAGAAAAATACTTTGTTAAAAATACTCTTTTTTCTATAGAAAAATACTTTGTTAAAAATACTCTTTTTTCTATAGAAAAAGTCTTTGTTAAAAAGATTCCTTTTCTATAGAAAAAGTCTTTGTTAAAAAGACTCTTTTTCTATAGAAAAAGTCTTTGTTAAAAAGACTCTTTTTCTATAGAAAAAGTCTTTGTTAAAAAGACTCTTTTTCTATAGAAAAAGTCTTTGTTAAAAAGACTCTTTTTCTATAGAAAAAGTCTTTGTTAAAAAGACTCTTTTTCTATAGAAAAAGTCTTTGTTAAAAAGACTCTTTTTCTATAGAAAAAGTCTTTGTTAAAAAGACTCTTTTTCTAAAGAAAAAGTCTTGGTTAAAAAGGCACTTTTTCTATAGATTAAGTCTTTGTTAAAATGATTCTTTTTCTATAGAAAAAGTCTTTGTTAAAATGATTCTTTTTCTATAGAAAAAGTATTGGTTAAAAGACTCTTTTTCTATAGAAAAAGTCTTTGTTAAAAAGACTCTTTTTCTATAGAAAAAGTCTTTGTTAAAAAAACTCTTTTTCTATAGAAAAAGTCTTTGTTAAAAAGACTCTTTTTCTATAGAAAAAGTCGTTGTTAAAAAGACTCTTTTTCTATAGAAAAAGTCGTTGTTAAAAAGACTCTTTTTCTATAGAAAAAGTCTTTGTTAACAAGACTCTTTTTCTATAGAAAAAGTCTTTGTTAACAAGACTCTTTTTCTATAGAAAAAGTCTTTGTTAAAAAGTCTCTTTTTCTATAGAAAAAGTCTTTGTTAAAAAGTCTCTTTTTCTATAGAAAAAGTCTTTGTTAAAAAGTCTCTTTTTCTATAGAAAAAGTCTTTGTTAAAAAGTCTATTTTTCTGTAGAAAAAGTCTTTGTTAAAAAGACTCTTTTTCTATAGAAAAAATCTTTGTTAAAAAGACTCTTTTTCTATAAAAAAAGTTTTTGGTAAAAAGACTCTTTTAAAAAAGTTCCTTTGGAAAGTTCTTCTTAAGAAAATCATTCTTTGAAAAGTGTTTCCTTGGAAAATTTTCGTTTTTCTTTAAAGAACTAATTCCTTTTTAATTCTGTTTGTTACCCTTAATAATAAATATCGCGTGCATAAATGATAGACATGCACGTACATACACACGTACTCAAAAGTATACATCCTTATGTTATTAATGTGTGTGTGTACTCATATGTCTATTTTCAAACGTCAACTCCTTAATTCTTTTTGTTTTCGTTTTCTCCTTTAACTTGTTTTTTATGTTCTGTGTAACAAGATTTGCTAGCTTTTCTGTTTTTCTTATCAGACTTATAATTTAAAATTATAAATTTTATATGAAAGAATTAAAAAAAAACATATTTTCTTTATGAAAACTCAATATTCTTCGTGTTTTTCTATTTTTTTTCTTTTTGCAAGAATGTGTCAAGTTTTTTGTAAAATACTCAACTTTCTTGTTCTTGTTCTATTACTCCTGGTGCTTGTTGTTGGTAAACAGGAGAGTATATTGCAGGCATGGAAAATTGAGTACTTTTAGTACCGCGGTACCCCCACGACATTTTCTGTCTATAGTCTAGTATATAGTCTAGTCTATAGTCTAGTCTATAGTCTAGTCTATAGTCTAGTCTATAGTATAGTCTAGTCTATAATATAGTCTATAGTCTAGTCTAGTCTATAGTCTAGTCTATAGTCTAGTCTATAGTATAGTCTAGTCTATAGTATAGTCTATAGTCTAGTCTATAGTCTAGTCTATAGTCTAGTCTATAGTCTAGTCTATATTCTAGTCTATAGTCTAGTCTAGTCTAGTCTATAGTCTAGTCTATAGTCTAGTCTATATTAGTCTAGTTAGTCTATAGTCTAGTCTATAGTCTAGTCTATAGTCTAGTCTATAGTCTAGTCTATAGTCTAGTCTATAGT